AATTGTCTGATAGTTGGGCTCATGGAAGGGCCAGATGAACCCAAGAAAACAGTTAACCAATTCCTCTCTCCTCTGGTAGAAGATCTGAAAAAGTTGCAAGTTGGTGTGCACATCAAAGATAGCAGCACAGTGGGAAATATATATCGAGGAGTACTCATTTGTGTGGCTAATGATATTCCAGCGTGTAGGAAATGTCTTGGATTTCTTGGACATTCTGCTAAGTTTGGTAAGCATAAGTTTACTGATTATTATCATGTCTTACAAAGTTCAGGTAGTGATATATTGACCTTTTCACACCTAGTCAGCTCATGAATATTATAAATAGCCAAAAATTGTGACATTCCTGGGAGAAACTATATACACAAATAACACCTTACAAAATAGATTTTGTCTAACACTTTATCCAGGGTGAATTTGTACATGAATAAATTGAACATTTTGTAAATGAACTGCTTTACATGGAAAATGTGTCTCTCTGATTTTGTTTAGTGGGATTTGCACGCCGTGGCGTTGCTGTTTTTCTAGTGATTATTTTGTTCATTGGGATTCTGAATTTTTCCGAATCCTAAATTCAATTGATAATTCACGTTTTCTCATATATTTACGATAAAGCCAATTCTGATTTTTTTTTATATATTTTCAAAACATAAAGTTCTGATTTTTCCTTATATTTCTCGGACACATTATTACTTGTAGTAAAACATCTAGTGCGCCCTCCATTATGACCTCCCCATAAATAAAAACAAATTCATCTGATTTTTCAAAATGAATATACTGCTTTTACTATTACATTGATATGTACACTTGTATCTTCTTGACCTTTATTCAGCACTGTATTGATGAATGGGCCACTTATTAGGGCCAATATTCAATCATTTTTCGCAGCTATGAATTTTCGTGGATTTGTCATACAAGATCACTCATTTGACTTCGATATCAGCCATGGTTGTTCATTCGCCCGATGATCTTGGCTTCTTATTAAGCCATTTCGTTAGAATGTTCATTTTAATACAGTAATAATGATTCTTTTTTGTAAACTCCAAATGTCACTTTTTTACCTCTTATAGCCCGGCACTGGACGAAAAATATTGCCAACATTGCAATCCCCCTGAATTTTTGGAAATTCACGACTATCAAATATTACAAATTAGAATCGTAGGAATTTCGCGACTGTTATATTTCGTGAATTTTCCAAAACCTGCGAAAAGCGGGAAACATAGTAGCGCCTGAAAATTACCGGGAGTATAATATTTTATTCAAGGGTGCAACATTCTTTACTCTGTGTCTTGTTTGAATATGAAGGTAATAATCTGTATTATTCTTATGTGTTTCAGGTTGTAGCAAATGTATGAAGGCATTTCCCCATGAATTTGGCTCGAAGGCAGATTACAGTGATTTCAATATAGCCTCACCTAGGACACATAAACATCACAAGGAGTCCGCTTTAATGGTCCTTAAAGCCAAAAATAAAGCAGAGGAGGAGAAATTGGAACGAGAGACTGGGTGTAGGTGGACCGAATTCTTCAGACTAGAATATTTCCAACCAGTACGAAACCACATATTGGATCCAATGCACAACTTGTACTTGGGAAGTGCGAAACATGTTACCCAGTTGTTCATCGATAAAGATGTTATAGATAAGCAGAAATTTGAAATCATCCAGAATAGAGTTGATAACATAAAATTGCCAACTGGATATGGCTGTATACCCTCCAAAATAAAATCAGGGTTTTCTGCTCTAACAGCTGACCAATGGAAGATATGGGTCAATGTCTGTTCACTTGTGGTACTGAAGGATATTATTCCCAATCGTCACTATGATATGTGGAGCTGTTTTGTGCAAGCATCCAAATTGCTGTCGCAAAGGTCAGTGTCTCATTTTGAACTGGACCAAGCACATTCGGTTTTGATACTTTTCTGTCAGAAATTTGCAAAATTATTCCCCAACAACTGCACAATGAACATGCATCTACATATGCACTTGATTAAGTGCATAAAGGATTATGGTCCCATTCATGCAACATGGTGTTTCCCCTTCGAAAGACTGAATGGAGTCTTGGGTAGTTACTCAACTAACAATCATTCAGTACCAATCCAAATGATGAGGAAATTTATTACCTCGCAAGAACTTGTGGTGATAAACCCAGGAGAATTATACGAGCCATTTGGTAACCTAATGAAGGACAAATTAATGCGCGGATCCTCCAGGCCATCATTTGAAACCTTTTCTACACATCTCCTCAGAACCTCCCAAAGAATACATACTTTGGATTTTGAGGCTGGACAATTTTTCCAAATTCTCCCCCCTGCAAAATTGGACATGTGTAGTTCAACTGACATAGAAGACCTGAATCTCATGTTCACTACCATGTACAACACATCATGTTGTATATCCCAGATGGTTGTGTATATTGAACGTGTCATTTACTGTGGTCAGCTTTTTGCAGTGTTAGACAGCAGAGGCAGTAGATCATCATGCATCCAAGCAAAATGGCTGAGTTTCGCTAATGGTAATGTGCAAATGGACCCCTCGTCTGATGCCACATCAGGAGTCATTAGGTCAATCATGAAATGCCATGTCACATTAAATGGCCAAGAAAAAGAGCACATCGTATTAGAAGTAGACTGGTTTCGCCCTCATGAGTATGGAGACTTCTTTGGCTATGGTGGAACTGTTACAAGTGTACAAACTGAAAAGTGTGCTAATAGTGCAAGATTTATACCGGTACAAAGAGTTCTTCACCACTGTGCTCTTTACAAGGAAAAAATTAAGCTACCATCTGGTAAAGAGACTGTCCATGTATCGATTCCAATATAGTGTAACAATGTATGAAGAGGGTGTCTGAGAACTTGAATGGTCATTTTTTGATGGAGATACAGCATGGGTGATTATTCTTGTGAATTCCATTCTGGAATGACTGACAAAAATGTCAGTCGCATAGCCTTTCTATTTTTAAAGAGTGAGTCAGGATATATTACTCCCTTTATGACCCTCTGTCTGTCCTGAAGATAACTCAAATACTAGTTGATGGATTTCTTGTGAAAGATGTATTTTGGTGAATAGTTTTACAGCAAAAAAAATTTCCAAGGCAAAAACCATAACTTTTTTAATTTTAAACATCAGCAATGAATATTGTTGTTTGACATTTTGGTTGTATAGTCAAAACATCTCTTTCAAGTATGGTTACAACAATGGATTTCTAATATTTATCAAGGGAAGATTAGATTGTAAATATTACATTGTGACAAATACAATTCATGAATATAGTGTTCATTTGGGATTTGCTACTCTGTGGAGCTGCTGTCTTCTAGTATTGATATTGTAACAAACACATTAGAATATTAGCAATTTTGTAACAATTTATTGCTTTGCTTTTTTGAACTTATATATACTGTACAGTGTACATGGTTGATTCTGTATACTGTACTTTCAAAGGTGGCCACAGCTTTAATAGTATAAGTGTTTGAAGTGCATTTTTATGAAAGTCCAGAATGACACAAAGAATGCCACTTATGTCACTTATAGAATAGCTTTTTATATATCAATTCAATTAATTTAAATATATGTACAAACAATACAAAATTGACAAAGGGAGCGGGACACCATTGAAAGGTGTAAGGTGTCCCCTGTAACAATGAAAAATTCATATGAGTTACCAAATAGGTATATGAAAGGAAAAAATTCTTGGAACTACAAAATTATAGTAATAAAGGTTTTGTTCCTGCAATTTCAACATGATAGGATATGTTTTGATTCAAACATATCGTATCATGTTGAAATTGCAGGATTCTGAAATTTCCACACTCATATATCTGGAGCAGATCAATAAATTGATCTTTAAGTTCAAAATATATATTGAGTTAGCTTTTCATGAATGGGACAGGAATGAATACAGCATGTATACATCTGCACTCTGGATCTTGGTGATCACTCAAGATCACTCATTAGATACACTGTATATTCCGACCCTTATTTAACTAGAGCCTCAGTGGGTATGGAGACTAAATGTTATGTATTTCATGTAAACTGGCTGTGTTTAATGAATTATAGCACACCACACTGTGATTATACCGCATACTGTCTTTTTATTTAATTTAACATTGTTTATGTAATATGCTGTACAATCCTGATATAATTTGTAGAAACTTTTAAAGGAACCATATGCATTTTGGCTATGGCAGAAATCTAGTTGGTCGTTTTATGGTATGTAACCTTTACAGGGATGTAGTTGGACATTTTTCCCCAAAAACACACATTGTTCTAAGGACTTACTATAATTTATGTTCAAAATATATTTTCCAATAATCGTGCTTTTTTGATTTTGTATACTCATTAATGGTTAATAGCTTATTAACATGCATGCGGTTTTACTGTTTGTAGATTTCTGTTGTTCACATTGTACAAATGTCAGATTTTTTTATTATTGACAAAGAAGAGTTGACCTTTAGTTACATTTTCAAGGTCAAAAAGGTGTTTTTACAACTTGCTTCAAATTGACCAATTCATTTTTTCAAATTCATCTACAAGTTCTCAGAAATTCAAATCTGACTAAGATTGAACTCATGATATTGTGAGCAACAAGGTGGTGACATTTTGTCATGTTAAAGCCTTGTTCTGTTTGTTGCAAAAAACAATAAAACTACTAGATGTATGGTAATCGATTGGACATTATACTTTTCTTACTTTATTATATTGCACCTGAAAGGATAGGAATATTTATCTCCTATTACTGTATTACATGTAATTGAACATAAATATGTCAATAAAAATCTTATACTTAGCCCATCATAAAGAAGTGTTTTGTTTTGGATTAACAATTTTAAGGCTGACTTAAGCCTTTTGATATCAACATAACTTCCATCAAATTTCAAAGCTCATCAAAGATATCAAAATTGTTGCATTGTCTGTCATTAAAATTAACAATCTACTAGACGTAGCACCTACTTTACCATATGGTTAAATGTTTAATATTCCCAACATATCATGGAGCAAAAACTGTTTTGACAAGTCAAAAGTAATGCTCAATAATGTAAAGTTTGAACAATGAAGGTTTCATCCACCCACTCCCTTTAAATAAGTTACTGTTCATGACTCCAATACACAGTGCACAGGATAGACATGAGGGGAGAAAATTGCTTGCTATATCTGTGTGGACATGAAAAAGGGATTCAATAGAAATATTGATTGATCACATTTCACCACCAGACTCATATTATGACTCCATATAAAAAAACAAAATAATAAATACGTTTAAAACTTTATTATATACAATATATACATATTATACACATACAAAATCTGTACGGCAGAATAAATCAGAATTAAGTCCATATTCACACCAACTGAACTCGGCACCAAGTGAGGGGTGGTCGCTTGTTTCTATCCTGCTGCATGCACGATCGATACACTTCCTTGAGCTTGTCGTTGACAATTCCCCTTGCCTTGGTGACCTCACGTGCGAAATATCCCACGGAATAAACATCGCTTGTGGTTGATGTTGCAAGCTCGCCTGACGAAATCTCTGGTGCCATCCAGCTGCACTGAGTTGTCGGTCTGGAGCGCTTGTATGGCTTCGAATGAGTCGTCGCCATTCCGAAATCGATGAGGACGCCGTCGTCCCTTCCCGATAACACGTAGTTGTCAGTCTTTATGTCGTTGTGCAGCAGTCCCATGGAATGAACATATTCCACCGAATGTATGAGGCATAATATGTGTGATATGAAGTTGATGGGGTGTTCTTCTTTCGATGCTAAGGCTGTTTTCATAGTTGTTGGTGATGGGAAGATGGCTGATGTGATGAGATGTGTTATGATCACAGGCTTTTCCTTGTCGGTAAGATCGAACCCATGGAGCTGCTGGATTCTGCGATTTTGCCCCAGGGTGATCAAAGAACGTAGTTCTTGATGAGCCGTGGCGAGTCCTCTCTTGAATTCCTTGAGAGCGTACAGCGTCCATGCAGCTGGATCCAGTGATGCAGATGACTTGTACACCGTCCCAAAGCTCCCCTCTCCCAGGATGGACTCCTTGTTGTAGTCCGCCGATTTCACCTTGAACTGCGACGTAGCCATCCAGCTCGTCCTATTGTAGGTTGAACTTGCGTCTAGGAAGCGCCCCATGGCCTGGTAGGATTCGTTCCTCTCTATGCGCAGGCTTACATTCGTGTATGTAAGGTGCTGAATGGAACTTTTTTGACGCTTGCTCTCCCGCTGCAGCTTTGCAATTTTGTCTTCTAAATATTTGACGTGCTCAGCTTTCGAGTCTTCTGTGACATCTGTGAGCCTTGGGTCTGTGTGTGTCGCCTCCTCCGGGTGCTGTGGTGTTGCTTCTTGACTGCACTGCTGAGTAGGTGACGGAATCTTGAGCTTCATGTTAGTGATGAATCGCCTCGTATCCTTGCTGACTGATGAGTTGTTGCTGTTGGTTGTCATCACGTTGGGGTAGACGGATTTCAGCAACCTGCCGAAATTCACTGCGTTAAGTGTACCCACGACTTCTTCATTTGGGTATTTCTTGGAGACTGCATCTATGCACATCTCGTGAAGATCTTGCTTGAACAGCTTATTCGGCGGTTCCCCATGCTCTAGCTTTCCCAGTAGATATGTCTTGGTCTCCTCTCTGATGTTGACTTGCTGTTGTGTTCTGCGTGGCATAGCTGTGTTGGTGGGTTGTAAAAACTGATTTGATTGTCCACACACGTCCGTTATATACTGGCCACTTGTTTGTGACATGTTTGTTTTTTCATTGTTCTTAATTCAAAGGATTATCATTGACGTCACAGTAATTTTAATCCAACCTAGTTTGGGATACAACGGAATTATAACCGACTTGAAGAGAACATGTGACACAACAGTTACACTGACACCTGCTTTGATCATTATTATGAAATATAAACTTTTGAAAAGTGATATTTGTAACACATTTTCATCAGAATTTGTAAAAGTCTGTGAGATAATCCGTGATTCACAATGAATTTTTTATTGTATTGCATAAACATTAGCAACTTTAAATAACCTCCATGTTTCCTTTTTTGCCAAAGAATACTTATGAGAAGACGAAGAACAAAATTACGGATTTTCCTTGAAAAAGTGATATTTGTAACATATTTTCGACAGAAATTGTAAAAGTTTATGAGATAATCCGTTATTCAAAATCAATATTTTATTATATTGCATAAAGATTAGCAACTTTAAATAACCTCCATGTTTCCTTTTTGCAAAGAATACTTATGAGAAGACGAATAACAAAATTACGGATTTTTATTGAAAAAGTGATATTTGTAACATATTTTCGTCAGAAATTGTAAAAGTTTATGAGATAATCCGTTATTCAAAATGAATATTTTATTATATTGCATGAATATTAGCAACTTTAAATAACCTCTATGTTTCCTTTTTGCAAAGAATACTTATGAGAAGACGAAGAACAAAATTACGGATTTTCCTTGAAAAAGTGATATTTGTAACATATTTTCGACAGAAATTGTAAAAGTCTATGAGATAATCCGTTATTCAAAATGAATATTTTATTAAATTGCATGAACATTAGCAACTTTAAATAACCTCCATGTTTCCTTTTTGCAAAGAATACTTATGAGAAGACGAAGAACAAAATTACGGATTTTTATTGAAAAAGTGATATTTGTAACATATTTTCGTCAGAAATTGTAAAAGTTTATGAGATAATCAGTTATTCAAAATGAATATTTTATTATATTGCATAAAGATTAGCAACTTTAAATAACCTCCATGTTTCCTTTTTGCAAAGAATACTTATGAGAAGACGAAGAACAAAATTACGGATTTTCCTTGAAAAATTGATATTTGTAAGATATTTTCGACAGAAATCGTAAAGGTCTATGAGATAATCCGTTATTCAAAGTGAATATTTTATTATATTGCATGAACATAAGCAACTTTAAATAACCTTCATGTTTCCTTTTTGCAAAGAATACTTATGAAAAGACGAAGAACAAAATTCCGGATTTTTATTGGAAAAGTGATATTTGTAACATATTTTCGTCAGAAATTGTAAAAGTTTATGCGATAATCCGTTATTCAAAATGAATATTTTATTATATTGCATTAAGATCAGCAACTTTAAATAACCCCCATGTTTCCTTTTTAAAAAGAATACTTATGAGAAGACGAAGAACAAGATTACGGATTTTTATTGAAAAAGTGATATTTGTAACATATTTTCGTCAGAAATTGTAAAAGTTTATGAGATAATCCGTTATTCAAAATCAATATTTTAGTACGGATAACTCTTGTGAGAGATAATTCAATCCCACGTGGGAGGCATAGTGACCATATAGTACAGGTCAATCTTGTGTGAGCAGGGTCAATCTCCCGTTTTGTGTGAGCTGGTCAGACAGTATTTGAGAGTAATAAGAACATTCTAGTATGGGCCAATATGGTGTGAACGGGGTCAATAGCGTGTCAATTGCACAGGAACATTATAGTACGGGAAACACTTGTGAGAGTTAGTTCAATCTGTTTGAGAGGTATATGGACATTATAGTTCGGGTCAATCTTGTGTGAGCAGGGTCAATCTTGTGTGAGCAGGTCAAACAGTATGTGAGAGCCATTAGAACATTCTAGTATGGGCCAATATGGTGTGAACTGGGTCAGTGGCGTGTAAATTGCACAGGAACATTATGGTACGGGAAACTCTTGTGAGAGTTTATTCAATCTGTTTGAGAGGTATATGGACATTATAGTTCGGGTCAATCTTGTGTGAGCAGGGCCAATCTTGTGTGAGCTGGTCAAACAGTATGTGAGAGCCATAAGAACATTCTAATATGGTCCAATATTATGTGAACGGGGTCAATAGTGTGTAAATTGCACAGGAACATTATAGCACTGGAAACTCTTGTGAGAGTTAATTCAATCAGTGTGAGAGGTATATGGACAATTTACAGTTCGGGTCAATCTTGTGTGAGCAGGGTCAATCTTGTGTGAGCCGGTCAAACAGTTTGTGAGAGCCATAAGAACATTCTAGTATGGGCCAATATTGTGTGAACTGGGTCAACAGTGTGTAAATTGCACAGGAACATTATAGTACGGGAAACTCTTGTGAGAGTTAGTTCAATCTGTTTGAGAGGTATATGGACATTATAGTTCGGGTCAATCTTGTGTGAGCAGGGTCAATCTTGTGTGAGCAGGTCAAACAGTATGTGAGAGCCATAAGAACATTCTAGTATGGGCCAATATGGTGTGAACGGGGTCAATAGCGTGTAAATTGCACAGGAACATTATGGTACGGGAAACTCTTGTGAGAGTTAATTCAATCTGTTTGAGAGGTATATGGACATTATAGTTCGGGTCAATCTTGTGTGAGCAGGGCCAATCTTGTGTGAGCTGGTCAAACAGTATGTGAGAGCCATAAGAACATTCTAATATGGTCCAATATTATGTGAACGGGGTCAATAGCGTGTCAATTGCACAGGAACATTATAGTACGGGAAACACTTGTGAGAGTTAGTTCAATCTGTTTGAGAGGTATATGGACATTATAGTTCGGGTCAATCTTGTGTGAGCAGGGTCAATCTTGTGTGAGCTGGTCAAATAGTATGTGAGAGCCATAAGAACATTCTAGTATGGGCCAATATTGTGTGAACTGGGTCAATAGTGTGTAAATTGCACAGGAACATTATAGTACGGGAAACTCTTGTGAGAGTTAGTTCAATCTGTTTGAGAGGTATATGGACATTATAGTTCGGGTCAATCTTGTGTGAGCAGGGTCAATCTTGTGTGAGCAGGTCAAACAGTATGTGAGAGCCATAAGAACATTCTAGTATGGGCCAATATGGTGTGAACGGGGTCAATAGCGTGTAAATTGCACAGGAACATTATGGTACGGGAAACTCTTGTGAGAGTTAATTCAATCTGTTTGAGAGGTATATGGACATTATAGTTCGGGTCAATCTTGTGTGAGCAGGGTCAATCTTGTGTGAGCTGGTCAAACAGTATGTGAGAGCCATAAGAACATTGTAATATGGTCCAATATTATGTGAACGGGGTCAATAGTGTGTAAATTGCACAGGAACATTATAGTACGGGAAACTCATGTGAGAGTTAATTCAATCTGTGTGAGAGGTATATGGACATTATAGTTCTGGTCAATCTTGTGTGGGCAGGGCCAATCTTGTGTGAGCTGGTCAGACAGCATTTGAGAGTAATAGGAACATTCTAATATGGGCCAATATGGTGTGAACGGGGTCAATAGCGTGTAAATTGCACAGGAACATTGTAGTACGGACCACTCTTTTCTGAGCTAATTCGATCACTTTTTGGAGACATATGGCCCTTACAGTACGGGTCAATCTTGTGTGGGCAGGGTCAATCTTGTGTGACCTGGTGCAACAGTATGTGAGAGGCATAGGAACATTGTAGTATGGGTCAATATGGAGTAAACGGGGTCAATATTGCCTGAGGTGCACATGAACATACTTGTACGGGTCACTCTTGTGAGAGTTAATTCAATCCGTGTGAGAGGTATATGGACATTATAGTTCGGGTCAATCTTGTGTGAGCAGGGTCAATCTTGTGTGAGCCGGTCAAACAGTATGTGAGAGCCATAAGAACGTTCTAGTATGGGCCAATATGGTGTGAACGGGGTCAATAGCGTGTAAATTGCACAGGAACATTATGGTACGGGAAACTCTTGTGAGAGTTAATTCAATCTGTTTGAGAGGTATATGGACATTATAGTTCGGGTCAATCTTGTGTGAGCAGGGTCAATCTTGTGTGAGCTGGTCAAACAGTATGTGAGAGCCATAAGAACGTTCTATTATGGGCCAATATTGTGTGAACTGGGTCAATAGTGTGTAAATTGCACAGGAACATTATAGTACGGGAAACTCTTGTGAGAGTTAGTTCAATCTGTTTGAGAGGTATATGGACATTATAGTTCGGGTCAATCTTGTGTGAGCAGGGTCAATCTTGTGTGAGCCGGTCAAACAGTTTGTGAGAGCCATAAGAACATTCTAGTATGGGCCAATATTGTGTGAACTGGGTCAACAGTGTGTAAATTGCACAGGAACATTATAGTACGGGAAACTCTTGTGAGAGTTAGTTCAATCTGTTTGAGAGGTATATGGACATTATAGTTCGGGTCAATCTTGTGTGAGCAGGGTCAATCTTGTGTGAGCAGGTCAAACAGTATGTGAGAGCCATAAGAACATTGTAATATGGTCCAATATTATGTGAACGGGGTCAATAGTGTGTAAATTGCACAGGAACATTATAGTACGGGAAACTCTTGTGAGAGTTAGTTCAATCTGTTTGAGAGGTATATGGATATTATAGTTCGGGTCAATCTTGTGTGAGCAGGGTCAATCTTGTGTGAGCAGGGTCAATCTTGTGTGAGCTGGTCAAACAGTATGTGAGAGCCATAAGAACGTTCTATTATGGGCCAATATTGTGTGAACTGGGTCAATAGTGTGTAAATTGCACAGGAACATTATAGTACGGGAAACTCTTGTGAGAGTTAGTTCAATCTGTTTGAGAGGTATATGGACATTATAGTTCGGGTCAATCTTGTGTGAGCAGGGTCAATCTTGTGTGAGCAGGTCAAACAGTATGTGAGAGCCATAAGAACATTCTAGTATGGGCCAATATTGTGTGAACTGGGTCAACAGTGTGTAAATTGCACAGGAACATTATAGTACGGGAAACTCTTGTGAGAGTTAGTTCAATCTGTTTGAGAGGTATATGGACATTATAGT